AAAAAAAAAAACAATGGGCCGATGGAGGGGGGGGAGGGTCAAGGACAGGAGGGAAAATGGCAGGCTTAGGAAAATGGTGGAAAAGGTCAGTGCGGGGGTTGTTTAAAACGCAAGTAGATAGACAAGTAACTAAGAAAGAGAAAAAAGAAATCGGCGTCTTGCTTATACACTTGAAAGCCATCCTCGTACATGATTTTGCCTTCCGTCCTATTGTATTTTTTTTTGTTGGTCGTTTGCCCACGTGTCTTGAGGGATTTTCCTTGGACGCACGTTGGAGTGAGAAGAGAATGCAGATTCTTTTTTCCCCCTTTTGTGCAGCATTGCTTCTCGAGAATAGAGTGAATGTTTGCGCGTACATGAAAATGCATCATATGGATCGGCGTTTCACTTAACGTCAGCTCCCGAAGACGACTTTTTTTTTTTTGGTGATATTGTTGATTGTTGCATGCAATACATGATTTGGTCATGCTTTGTTTCATACTTTGTCCTTCCCGTGGGGCACTTTTTTTTTTGTTGTTGTTGCCGCTTCGTTGCTCCACTGGCACATCCCCCATCCCTCTCCTCATTCTCTCCCGCTCCCATGGATATTGTTGTTTAGCGGTTGTGTGCGGCTTACACGGCAGCGCAATTGGGAGCGGGTGGGGAGGGGCACCAGAGCCAAGCAAAGCACCCCACTCATAAATATATATAAATAATATATATATATATAGTTTTTGTGTGTGCGCCTGTGATCGAAAGCGTGTCATCTTTTTGATTCTGCTGCTGCGGCCCATATCACTGTCCTTTCGTTGCCCTTCCCCCTACTCACTGTTTTGAGTGGTCACCCTTTGTATTCACATTCTCACGCACATGCGTGACATGTGGTGGGTGGTCCGCCACCACAGCGGATGCGAGCGCGTGAGTGAGCAGGATGCGGATGGCGAGGCGTAGGATCAACATGTGCAAAGAAAGGGTATTTTGAATATGATGGTGTCTCGGTTACACAGAATATGGCTATTCTCGGGCTGCTCGTCCGTTTAATTCTTTTTTGTTCACTTGCGTCGCTGGCCTCTTCAACTTTGTTCTTTTTGATTTTGTTTTTTTTTTNGGGGGGGGTGGGGGTTGTTTGGTGTTTGTGTTGCGTCCCGTGGAGTTTTTCCTCCGCTAGGGAAGTCATTCTCTTGTTTTTTGTGTGTGGGTGTGTTCTTTTTGTTTGTTGCCTGTTTGCTTTTTTGGGGGGTTGGCATTGCACTTCGTTTTGATTTTGTTTGTCTTTTTGTTTCGTTTTTGTTTTTTTTGTTTTTTGTTGCCGTTGTTCGCTTGCGCCCCCCCCCGTCCTCCTCCACGCGACTGTGTGCTCGGCACCCGTCGCCGGCTACGACGCCTCCTTTGCGCGGCTCTGCGTGGGCGAGTCCAACACGCGCGATGCTCGAATGACGTCGGCGTATGTCATGGGCCGTGAGCCGCCGGCGTCGACGTCGCTCGGCGTGTGGCTGCTCTCGCCGCTGGGCGTCATGTACGGCGGCGAGTTCTCGTCGGTGCTCGAGACCGTCAGTTTAAGCGACTCGGTGAGCTGCGGCATTAGTGGGGAACACACCCTCAAGTTGCTACTGTTGTTGTTGTTGTCATCATCGTCATCGTCGTTGATGCTGTTGCTCTTGGTAGTGGCCCACACCTTGATCCCATGCGGACGGAAACGCAGCAGCGACTTGGGTGGCTCCGGCGGTACGAATGTTGCGGCGTTGGGTGAGGGCTTCGGACAGGCCACGTAGAGGCCGCCCCTGTATGGATCATGTTGCAGCCGGCGGCCGGGGCAGGTAGTCTCTACACGCTCGGAGCTCCACGGCAACTCAGAACCAGCCGGCGCAGGAGGGAGCCGTGCCGCTCCTTGTGGGCACGCAGGCCATTCCATGCCTGGACTGCGCATGCTACGAAACCCTATACTTCCTCCCATGCACCGGCTGTCACCGCCCACCGGGCACGGTGGCCTTGGGGTGAAGGCAGGAGGAAGATTCCCATAGTTCACAGACGTAAACGGTGAGCTGTCCTGCCGTGGCAATTCGTTCCGCTCCCAGGACCCGTGGGAACCATTGCTCGCCATGGCGGTGCTCATCAAATACTCCTGCATTGCAAGCATCTGCATGTCACGAGACAATTGTACTGCTAAAGCCTCGCTCATAGCGCTACCATGACGCCTCGACATCTCGTTCTCCCACCGCGGCATTCCTCCACAGGGCTGTCGAGCCATGTTGTTGTTGTTCCCAGGGAACTTGGCCCAGGGCGACCGCACAAAAACAGGCTTTTCAGCAGGCATCGTTTGCACACATGTGTCAACAGGAGCCACGGGCGGGATGCAGCTGGCAGCAGCCCTTGGCGCAGTGCGGAGTGCCGAAGCGCTTGGCAATGGACGGCGTTGTGGTTGCATTTGCTTGTCGTACTCCACACGCATCTTGACCACCACGGCGGCGCATCCGCCAAGGGGTTTGCCTTGGAGCTGCACGAATGCCTCCTTAGCGCTACGCGCATCCTCGAAGGTGACGTTGACTATGTCGGGGGACACACGGTAGAACTGAAAAATGGGATACCGCGTGGTCTCCCGCTGAACGTCTGCCAGTGTCAGCACACTTTCGACGTCGTGGATTTGCAGCGTGCACCGCGAGCGAAGCGAAGCCTGTGGATAGGGGCCCACTCGGACCTCTTTTGGCCTGGAGTTCAGCACTATTTTCTGCGACATCCGCGCAGCAGAGAGAATCATGTCAACGGCACCCCTCTCGTCTATCCCCCACGGCATCGCTGCACGCACCGGCGCGAGGGTCAGCAGATACGGCACGGACACCGTGAGGCGGCTGTCCATGGCGGCCATGATCGCCGCTGGAGAAGTGGGGTCCTTGTTGCTACCACCGCTATCATTGCATGCATCGGCGTGGCCGCGCAGGTAGTTGACGGACAGGAGGCTCTCCAGCACCCCACGGAGTGTATCGGTTGCATTCTCGTCAGAGAGCATAAACTCCTCCTCGATGGGGCGCGGGGGCTCCAATATCGGGGTACACGGCTCCAGGTGTCTCATGTTGGCTACGGATTGCATATGTTTGCCCTGTGGAGGTTGGGTGTGTGTGTGTGTGTTTTTCTGTTGTATTTAACAGTCCTCTGCCTTGCGCCCTCTTCCTTTTTTTTTTT